AAGCTAGATAGTTATCCAATTTAAACCATAGACAGAACATACACTAATCTTTCAAAACGACCACACAACTATTACAGAAACTACAATGCCAAAGGACAGTCAAGAGGAAACAAATATTTACGGTGCTAAAATGATGGCGAAGATATAATACACTATTCTTTCGGCTCTTCCCTTTAAAGTCCAATTAACAACATGCTGCTGTGGGAATATTTTTTACTAATAAAAATAATTTCAACAATTAAGTTTTGGGTGTAGTCTTTAAAAGCCACTACAGTGTGTTCCCTCTCTCTCTCTTCTCTCTCTCTCTCTCTCTTTCTCTCTCTCTCTCTCTCTCTCTCTCTCTCTCTCTCTCTCTCTCTCTCTATATATATATATATATATATATATATATATATATATATATATATATATATATATATATATATATATATAATAAAAATAAAAATAATTTAGACAATTAAGTTTTGGGTGTAGTCTTTAAAAGCCACTACAGTGTGTTCCCCCTCTCTCTCTCTCTCTCTCTCTCTCTCTCTCTCTCTCTCTCTCTCTCACTCTATATATATATATATATATATATATATATATATATATATATATATATATATATATATATATATATATATATATTTATTTATATATATATATATACTAGCTGCATACCCGTGCTCCGCCACGGTAAATCTCTTTTAAATGCACCAACTTGGGAACAGAACAAAACAAATAAAAAAAACACTACACAAACACAACCAAAACCACACCACAAAACACCACCACAACACAACCACTACACAACCACAACACAACCACAACATTAGAATCACCACCGAACAACACGCTTTCCTAGGCGTCATCGCCCAAAGAGAGCCTTTCCATTTTTCTCTAAAACTCTAATAACACCATCTGTTTTAATAACACCGAAAAACGAAAACAAAAAATAGTGATTTTGAGAAATCATAGACTAATTAGAAAATAATATAAATAATCTTAACATTTTTCTATTTCAATTATAACCCTTAACATATAATAATCAATGCGGTAGTAATAACAAAAATAACTTCAATTATTGATGAGTTAAGTTTATTTTTAAATTTCCTCCCTTGCAAAAATTACCAAAAAAGTTTAATTAATTAGTTTTTTCGACCTGCTGTTAAGAAAATGTTTGTTTTAGAAAACAATTTAAACTACATTTAAACTACTTACTATATACATCATCACAATTGAAGGTTTCTGTTGGTGTACCGCTTCTAGAAATGTAAACTACAAAGCAACAAAATTCTCCCTCGTCAGTCGCCTCGGTATGAGGTATTTCAATCTTGAATTGTACTTCCTCTTTTCGTATTACTTGAAATGTGTTCTTTGTTCTCGTTCCAAGCGTATACAATTTCCAATGATATTTTAGTATCGGATCCTAAAAGAAAATTAAATTATTAGAGATCTACATTTAATAAACTAATATCAATGTCAGAAACAGGCTGGTAGGTGGCAGTGTGCAAAAAGTACATTTTTTTCAATTAGCCTTATATATAGAAAAATTTGGGGGACTTTGGGCATTAAATTTAGTGTTTCTTAATAACCCAAACTTTAAAAAAAATTAAAATAAATTAGTTTGAAGATCTGCATTTAGATTTTTTAGCTGAGTACCCCAAAATATGGTAGAAGTTTATAAATGCATTTTTTATTGGACATAAAATATAATATTTTATGAATGGTGGAAATCCTACGAAGAGGTTAATTTTTAACATGGCCGCCGTTGTCATAGTTACCAAAAATTGTCCACAGATTTTTTTTTCATATTGGAAACGTATATGGAAACTGTAACGAAAAAATGGTTTGTTCACTAGTATTAAAACACGTTCTGTTTAACCTACCCCACAGCAACAAGTATTCCAACACAGCAAAGCAAAACCGTTCTCACTAGCAAACAACACAACCAGTTTTTTTTATAACACTAAAGAGTATCTCACAGTTTTAATTTTAGGCTTTTCATTCGCGGAATATTCCATATGAACAGGGTCGTGCGTTCCGCCTTCCCAGTGCATCTGTAAGTTGTACACCCCTCGTATGTTATCTGGGGCGCCCGCTAGTTCGGCATCGCAAAATGCTGAAAATGAATCTCCTAGACCTACTGTATAAGGTGCGATCCTCCGTATGTGATCTGTGCAAATAGAAAAACAATTAATGTAAACAACAGACACCTCTTTGTAAACAACCTGTCTCTACTATTCATTTTACTTTCAATCTATGTAAATTAAGTACAAAGTAAAAAGCTTACATATAGATATTGTTTTACATATTTAAAAAAAAATATTAATGAATTAGTGTAATCTTTCGCATGTGAAAAAAAAAGAGTCAGTTATTCGTGGATGGTGTATGACAACAGTAGATAATTGATGCCAAAAATGTAGGATACATCGTCGCGTTGAATGACATATGCCATCAATTTATGATACATGGTCACAGTGAATGACAAATGCCAACAAATGTATAATACATCGTCACGTTGAATGACATATGCCTACAAAAGTATGATACATCGTCACGTTGAATGACAGATGCCTACAAAAGTATGATACATCGTCACGTTGAATGACAGATGCCTACAAAAGTATGATACATCGTCGCGTTGAATGACAGATGCCTACAAAAGTATGATACATCGTCGCGTTGAATGACATATGCCTACAAAAGTATGATACATCGTCACGTTGAATGACAGATGCCTACAAAAGTATGATACATCGTCACGTTGAATGGCAGATGCCTACAAAAGTATGATACATCGTCGCGTTGAATGACTGATGCCAGAAATGTATGATACACGGCCAAAGTGAATGACAGATGCTAAACGTGTATGATAGATGGCAAAAGTGGATGAAAAGTGTAAACATTAGATGAAAGGTCCCAGATGTGAATGCTACATTTTATTTTATGTTAACAGTGTATGAGTGTATGATAGATGTAAACACGTGGATGACGGGTTCCAACCGTGGATCACAAATACAATTACAAATACACATTCTTCCATTCAATCGACAGAAGATGCCAGATGAATAAAATAATTAATTGGTAATCTATTGTTTAAGGTACGTAAAATCGCCCGCGGCTAGTCAATTACGGAAAAGTTACCTCATTGTCAAGGCTTAATAGAAGTATATTTTGATATATTTGTGTCAAATATTATAGATAATTGAATAATAAACCTACACTAATGGCTAAATATATCGGTATAGGCCAGGGGTCGGCAACCTGCGGCTCGCGAGCCGCATGCGGCTCTTTCGATATCAAGATGCGGCTCTCCAGCTCCTTGAACAAACACTAATAATCTTAATAAAAAAATAAAATATTTGAAATAAAAAAAAAATGTTAGTGGCTCTTTAAAACCAGGGAAATTTTGAAAATTGTAAATTTTGGCTCTTCCGCTTCAAAAGGTTGCCGACCCCTGGTATAGGCAAGTGTTTGCCAGCTGGATTTGCTAGCTATATAAAAAGCGGCCATCTGTAAGTTAGAGTGGCTTCCCCTGAATCTCACGATTATAAGTTTATTAAAAAAAATACTTTAACTGGCTGCTATAGTAAATGAGCAATGTTGCATATGTCGGAAACATCGCTAGTTTTCATTTATTACTGAAAAGTTTAAATTCAAATGTTTGAAAACAGGTACATAAATGAAACAGGAAAACATTTTTGTATTTTTCAAAACATAAATCCTCCTCAAAACGTGAAATAATTATTAAAATTTAGGGAGTCACCGATTTTTCACATTACTAGTCGCGGGCGATTTTACGTACCTAAAACGATAGATTACCAATTTTATTTTACTACACAAACAACCAGATTAATCTGCGTTTCCTTTTATCTAGCGCGGTATAATTACTTTGCGATTCTACTAGCCAGACCAAAAGTAATATAAGAGCATGCTTCACTGAACCCATTGTAGATCAGTTAATGCTAGATCGAAGTGTTTTCAAAAAAAATAGAGATCGTTTTTTTTTAATTCCTTTTGTCTGGGTTTAATTAAACAGGAAGTTCTAATGCTAGATGTGCGCTATACAATACCGGTGCGTCGTGGTGTTGACATATGGTGCGCTTAATGAAGTATCGACTTATTGCGGTACTATCGTGTGGTGCGCATTTTTAACTACCTAGCACTCAAAGTTTCTTCTCTCCCCCCCCCCCCCCCCCAAGAAGATCTACCCCCCCTCCCAAACGAAATGGAGTTTATATAGAAAACATACTTTTACCAGTGCCCGACCCCCCCCCCCCCGAAAAATGTTGTCCGCCAAACCGAAAATATCAAGTGACCCCCTCCCCCTTCCCCTTGGAGAAAAAGTCTGGAAGAAATACTGCCAGCACTTTGGAAGGCCAGCGTAGGGATAGGTTACATAGAAATAATATTCCAATGTTTTAGGTGTACGATTCAATACGCCATTCAGTAATGTTGAAATAATATGTAGTCAATGCTATTAAATATAATAATAAAGAAAAGCCACATTCGCTAAACTAAGTGGTGAATTTAAAAGCCATATATATATATATATATATATATATATATATATATATATATATATATATATATATATATATATATATATATATATATATATATATATATATATATATATATATATATATTTATATATTTATATATATATATATATATATATATATATATATATATATATATATATAAACTTGTTTTCTTGGAGGGGGGGACACCGCAATGTGCCGCATCGGATGACACCAGACCTAGCGACGCCACTGGTAATAAGCCTTTGTGTAGCTTATCAATGTCTGCGTAGCTGTTTACCTTTGCCCATTAGTGTTGATCATCAATGTATGCTGTTCGTGCTCGATATATAGAGTAAACAATGTTTAAACTTTTAGGCACAGAAAATGTGTTGATAGTTATGCATGTGTAAGTTAGATAAAAGTGCTACAACTAAAAACCTCTGAAACTTATAGGTCTGGATATGAAAAACAACAAACTAGTTAACTGACGGTTGGTATTTATTTTCATTTAAATTTCAAATGTTTAAGAGATTTTAACAAAAAATACGATGTAAGTATACAAATATATAATCGTGTACGTTTTTTTCATGATAAATAAATATGCAAATAATTGTGTTTGTCTTCTTTCTCCAAAACTGATAACCGTTTGTTAAGTACTGTTGTAACAACTGCCTTTAGGTAATCTGAAAAAAAAAAGATCAAACTAATTAAACTTTTAATACAAAAATGTATTCTTTTAACGTTGACTGTGTTTATTAAAAATAAAACTAACTAAAACAATTAGGTATTGACATATAAACAATAGTACAATAGTTAGAGAATCGAATACTTGAAAGCAGTAAACAGATTATAGAATAGCAACTAATAGCATCATCTTTAAAATAGTTAACGAAATTCCAATAGACGTATTATTATCAAAAAGTATAATTCGTTCGCTTGATTGACTGGATAATTTTCAAATAAATATAAATTTAAACGTATCAAATCCACACTGTATGATAGTACTTTTTAAATAAGACAACGATCACATGACCTTACCTTCTTGCATTATTTAGAGGATGACGCAGGAGATGTTAATCAGACCAGAAATTCATTATGAATACAATTAATCCGAACATAAGAACGTCGGGCATGCACATAAATCCGCTTCCATTTGATGAGAACTGGACATTAATATTGCCTTCGTACTTGGTGCCAACTGTGAAGTAAACAACTATTGTAGTTTTAAATCACTTTATCTGTTTTGCAAACACTGCGAATGTAAATGTACACACACACATACAAACACACCCACACCTTCTCACACCCACACACCCATACACCCACACACACACACTCACTCATACACGCACACAAACACACCCACACACACTCACACATATAAAATTATCTATATATCTATATATCTATATATCTATATCTATAAATATATGTATATATATATGTATATATATATGTATATATATATATATATATATATTTATATATATAAAGCAAAGTTGTCAGGTGCCCGACAGGGCACTTCCAGGCGCCGCAGGCGCGTCAAATTTGGCACGATGGTGCCTTTGGGAGATAGAACACGAGGGCCGGTGACGGTTGGCCGAAAAGTCGACGGAGAGGGGGTCAAAACTGACCTCGACTGACCGGCGCCTTATATGGGCTATATTACGAGAAAGAAATTCCTCCGACGACCCCCCTTGAAATTTTGTGAGGTGGTAGGAGAACGCCTTGGGGTGTCACAAAAAAATCGGCATATCTGGGAAAACTTCGTAAAGGGGTCAAAACTGACCAGTTGTATTTCCCTATATAATCTTTGTATTTTATGGGAAAAACAGAGGGTACTTTCAACGCAGACTTTAGGGTACTTAAACTCGGTATATCTGGCTAATTTTTTGCATACGTTTAGGTCAATGGCTTGACCTTTAGGGAAAACTGTCGATTTGACTCAAAGCCCTCGCCGAGGGCTAAAAAGTGACCGCGAGTGAAATTCTCATTATATGAGCTTTATTACGAAAAAAAATTTCCTCCGACGACCCCCCTTGAAATTTTGTGAGGTGGTAGGAGAATGAGTGGGGGTGTCAAAAAAAACTTGCCATGTCTGGGAAAATTCGGGAAATGGGTCAAAACTGACCAGTTGTATTTCCCTATATAATTTTGTATTTTATGGGGAAAACATGGGGTCATTTCAACGCAGACTTTAGGGTACTTAAACTCGGTATATCTGGCTAATTTTTTGCATACGTTTAGGACAATGGCTTGACCTTTAGGGAAAACTGTCAGTTTTACTCAAAGCCCTCGACGAGGGCTAAAAAGTGACCGCGAGTGAAATTCTCTTTATATGAGCTCTATTACGAAAAAAAATTTCCTCCGACGACCCCCCTTGATATTTTGTGAGGTGGTATGAGAACGCCTTGGGGTGTCACAAAAAACTCGGCATATCTGGGAAAACTTCGTAAAGGGGTCAAAACTGACCAGTTGTATTTCCCTATATAATCTTTGTATTTTATGGGAAAAACAGAGGATCATTTCAACGCGGATTATAGGGTACTTAAGCTCAGTATATCTGGCTAATTTTTTTGCATACTCTTAGGTGAATGGCTTGGCCTTTAGGGAAATCTGTCGGTTTTACTCAAAGCCCTCGACGAGGGCTAAAAAGTGACCGCGAGTGAAATTCTCTTTATATGAGCTCTATTACGAAAAAAAATTTCCTCAACGACCCCCCTTGAAATTTTGTGAGGTGGTAGAAGAAGGCCTTGGGGTGTCACAAAAAACTCGCCATGTCCTGGAAAAAACGGGAAATGGGTCAAAACTGACCAGTCGTATTTCCCTATATAATCTTTGTATTTTATGGCAAAAACAGGGACATTTTAACACAATTTTTAGGTTTTTTAACGTCTGTAGGGCCTACATCATGATAAGTTTTTGCATACACTACTATAGATGACTATGCCGTATGGAAAAACTGTTGGTCAGACTCAAAGCCCTCGACGAGGGCTAAAAGATGATCGTGAGTGAAATTCTCCTTGTATGAGATATATATATATATAAATAGACGAACGATCCCCTATTATATGACGTCGTAGACCAACCCTGGAAGGTAACAAAAAAATGTTATTCCCGTCGGAAACAGCCATTATAGTCGTTAAATATGTTCATATACCGTAATTTCTTAAATAAGCAAAGCAACTGTTTGTAAAAAAAAGTAAACAAAGACTTACGTCATACGGTCAGTTTTCAGGGTGGTAACGTTTGTAAAATTTTTTTTTTTTAAAAATAATTGTATACTATTTTAAACAGAAACAGAAAATGACGAAGTATAGCATTTGTTTTAGTACAAAATTAAGTTGTTAATTTAGTTACCTATCCTAATTAAATAAAAAAATAAATTTCAAAAGGCAATGTAATATAAACTATGAGATATACTGTTCATGGAACCTGTGTAGTTCTAATTCCATTTTAGTTATACATTGCGTACTTTCCAATATTTCTCTGAGATCGGTATTTAAATGACAAACAAAAACATTTTTTTTCTAAAGTTAGCATTACTGTTTAAATTAAAGCACTCCACACCCAATCCATCGCTAAATAATTAGGTATTCAAATTCTCAAATGTTATTTAAAAACCTAAGCGAAGCTAGGCAGTATGCCTAGTATATATATATATATATATATATATATATATATATATATATATATATATATATATATATATATATATATATATTGACATCAATACAAATGAAAGAATGTCTGTATATCCTTTTTGCTTTGCTAAACCTTTCATATAATCGCCATAAATTTTCGGGATGTTGTTGGGAATATTTTAGGATTCTACAGGGAAAAAAATAGATTTCCGGGGCAAGGGTACGAATAAAAGTAGAAAGCAGTTTGCCACCCGTCATCCGGGTACCATGACACTTAGGGGACTTGATGAGAAAAGAGGGTTGGATATTGCGAAATTTTTTTTTTTTATTTTTTTTTTTTAAATGTATTAAGAGTCGGATGCTGCTTAGGCGCCAAGAGTTACCGGAAGGCTATCTGAACTCTAGGTATCCGTTGCTTGAGCTGCATGTATAGACTCTCCATAACAAGCTTCAGTCTTAAGTCCGAAATGAGATCCGAACTCGAGATCTCGGACTAGCAATGAAACGCTCTATCATTTTGACCACGCCTCAAAATTTATTTATTTTTACAATAAGGCTGATTCTCACCTGTTAATTTCTGGCAGCGGTGCTCCCAGCGTTTGACATCCTTCTGGTCGTAATACGTCGCCCCGCAGCAGTAGAAGCCGGAGTCGTGGTCTTTGCTGGATGCGATGTTGATGCCAATCTTCAGATGGCTCTTCTCGATTCTCCTTTTTGGCCTTATGCGCCCTCCTTGCTGGTAGACTTTCCAGTGTGACTTGCCGGCGGGAGTTAGCAGATGAGAGTAGGTGTGCTAGATACGGGAACATAAAAGTGTTCACTAGCTTGCAGGTTTTATTGTTGTAGTGTATTCAACTTTGATAGGCACATCCGTGTTGGTAGTGTGTTATAAGTGATAGATGCACGCGTATTTGACTGAGGTAAATTAAAGACCGATATATATATATATATATATATATATATATATATATATATATATATATATATATATATATATATATATATATATATGTATATAATTCTCTTCTTGGAGACGCTAGAAAACAAGCTGTAAACGCGCTCCCTACCACCCCCACCTCTACATGGTCTGGTGAGCTGTGGTTCACTCTAAATGTTTACAAACAGAGCCGGGTTTAGTGACGACTATTAGGGGCAGATAATTTAGTTTTTAAACGTGGGGGGGGGTAACTAAGAGGAGTTTACTTTAACGGAGGGGGGAGGGGGGTTATCGTCCTTAACGAGCTACTTATAGTGTTTTATAGAAATATTTTCCGTGGCAGCATTGGTACTGTCGAATTCACAAATTATGAATAACTGAAAAGTAGAAAAAACAACAACTAAATAGCGGCGTATGATATGCCGAGGGTCGGTTCGTATATAAATAATCTGGACAGGCTATTTAGATGAATAAGTCATTCGTTTGACAAAATCAATATTGCTAGTCTGTACCAATTACTAATTATAATTATAAAATGTAATATCAATAAAGGCATATTTGGGAGAGCGGAATCTAGAACTTTTTAAAAGTTCGATTAATTCACGAACCCCTAAATTTAGAAAAAATCAAATGAATATTTGACTAGATCCATTCCATAATTTATAAAATAAATTCAACAATTGTATACAATGTAAATAATATCGCTTTTATGATGAACAGTATTGGATACATCTCTCCAAACAAAGATTGCATAAACATTTTATATGACATGTAGCTTTTAATAAAACAAAATCTCTCGTTAAACCAAAAAACTTACGGTGTCATTCAGATCTGGTGTGATTTCATACAGTAAATACGTATTGGGATCGTACTCTTTGTTCTCCCATACTAGCGTTAGGTAATCCAATTCTGTTGCGGCGTAAGGCACTCCAGCCATATCTCCATCACACGAAATCTGTACGGGTTCTTCAGGAGAGACACGAGTAGGATGGACGATAGCTTTATCGGAAACTGAAAGGTAAGATGGGGAGAGGTTAATCTTGAATAGACTTGCTATGTGTGAAGTTAAGTATACAAAATATATTATAGTCATGTATATATGTTACGGTCAAAGCCCGAAGTCGGCCAATGCTAGGATTGGCCGGCCAATCCGCGCATTGGCCAATATCGCCTCCCATAGGTCGGTCAAAGTCCGAAACTTTGCTTGATTTTGGCCTTTGGCCGGCCAATCCGCGCTTTGGCCTCACTTCGGGCCTTGACCGCTCATAATATATATATATATATATATATATATATATATATATATATATATATATATATATATATATATATATATATATATATATGTATATATATATACCCAAATAATCTATACGTAAAAACCCAATAGCTACAATGCTATGGGAAGTTAACATTATTGGTTTCATATTAAATACACCACAGCCTATAGCTTACAGTAAATAAAGATAAACAAAAGGGACGCTACTCTAAAACTTAACTATTATTTACACCACCATCTGCTTTAATATGCCTTCTATTGTGTTGAAACAGTCTCTCTGTTAATTTAAATTGATTTGTATTCTTCAATGATGTCGTTGATATAGCGACACCACAACCAGTTAACACATCAGACTTTACGATGATACACGTAACGAACACATCAATACATGACAATGAAACCCCAACCTAGCACATTGTTGTTAACACCGACACACCCAGTTATCGCATATTGACATGCAACTTACACACTCAACTGGCACATATTGACGTGGAACTGACACGACCACCTAGCACATATCGACATATAACTGACACAACCAACTAGCACATATTGACATGCAACTGACACACTCACCTAGCACATATTGACATGCAACTGACACACTCACCTAGCACATATTGACATGCAACTGTCACACTCACCTAGCACATATTGACATGCAACTGACACACTCACCTAGCACATATTGACATGCAACTGACACACTCACCTAGCACATATTGACGTGGATCTGACACGACCACCTAGCACATATCGACATATAACTGACACACTCACCTAACACATAATATTGACATGCAACTGACACGACCACCTAGCACATATCGACATATAACTGACACACCTACCTAACACATCTTTACATGACACTGATACACCTACCCATCACTCCCTGACAGCGCTTCGAGAACTCAGCATCATCGGTCCGATGAAAGTACATAATCTCACAGCACCACTCGCCCATGTCCGTGGGATTAGTATTTGTAAGCTGGATCTCCATTCTAATGTCGTCCCTGTCTATCCAACCCCAAATGTTTCTATGCGCCGATGCGTAATGCTTCAGCCTCCAACGACCTCGTAAGTACACGTCCATAAGACCCTGTGTAAAATTATTTTTTATATACCTCAGACATGTAATATTGGTACGCAGAGGCGTAGAGGGAGGGGGGTGCAAACCGAAAACTTGAGGGGGGATGCAAATCGAAAGTTTGATGGGGTGGGGTGCAAATCGAAAACTTGAAGGAGGGTGCAAAACAAAAATTTGTCCCCGGGAAGTCGCTACGCCTTTGGGGGGGGGTGACACCATTAAGTGCAGCACCGGGTGACACCCGACCTCGCTACGCCACTGTGGTAACGTTTATTTTCCCAAAGTCTTCTGTTAGTGCATTGCTATGCTAACCATTCGACATTTAAGAACGGTAGTAGATTTACATTGATATTTATTTCTTTCACTTTTAAAAAAGTTGTGTTATACAGGGTTTTAACAAAGCAGGAGCTTCGGTTACAGAAAATAAAGATTACAGAGAGGAGAGAGGGAGGTATGAATACCTGATGGCTTGGGAGGGGGGCGGGATGCATCGGGGCCATCTAAATGTATAAAACTATGTTTTTATTAAAATGATGGGGATACAATATTTCCTGATACAAGAAGGGTGTCATGATATAACTGGGGACTGCTGAAATACAGGAATAGAGGTAAGGACATGAATTATTATTTTATCCTTTAACTCTGATTATCAAAACTTCTGCATTTACACCAGTCCATTTATGTTCTTTTGATTCCAAAATAGTATATATAAATGTAATTTAATACGATTTACTCATTAATTTGAAGCAAAAAAAGTCAAACGAAAGTAGGCCTATATGCATTTGCAAAATATCATACGCAAATAGTTTTGAGTTCACATGACAAAGAGTTTGAGCTAGGAAATGAAATGTGTCATTTTCAGCAAGTTATAAATACATGAATTACACCACAGTGAAAGTCAGGTATATAAAAACCAAATATTTGCTGAGTTATTCCTCTTTACATACAGCAAAACATTACGACTAGATGGAGCTTGGTGGTAGTGAAATGAAAACATAATTATATATCATGGAGACCATAGAAAACACCACGCAGCTTAGCCACCACCCTCATCCCCACCTATCAGGTGAGCTGTGGTTCACCCCAAGTGTTTACAATCGTAGAGCCGGGTTAATGACTGCTATTATGGGCAGATAATTTATTATTAAACGATTTGAAGTGAAGGGGAGGTAACAATTTCTGATTAATCTTTTTTTTGTCTTTAAACTGCTGCTTTCACTGGGCGGGAGGGGGGGGGGGGCGGGAAGGGGTAGTGTTGAATTCACAAATTATGAATTGCTGATAATTAGAAAATAATGCATATATTTTAAAGATATATCTGACAACTTCTAAAAACTTACTTTATTCAGCATAAACGTGGCTCGGAACCTGTTCCTATTCCACGACAGTTTCATCTGGTGTATCCCCCTCACCCTGTCGGGTAGACCAGCGAGATCGGCGTCACACAAAACAGATCCCTCGCCGCCCCTCATGATATCGTTAGGTACTATTGATTTACGTAAAACTGCAACAACATTTGACTTAGTTTTGCGTGTCCTCATATATGTCTCTTTTTTTACTCATTCTCTCCCTCGGTGTATATATATATATATATATACATATACATATATATATATATATATATATATATATATATATATATATATATATATGTATATGTATATGTATATGTATATGTATATATATATAGCCTATATATATATATATATATATATATATATATATATATATATATATATATATATATATATATATATATATATATATATATATATATATATAATCCACAAATTATTACTGTTTCAAAGATCAAATATGGAGAATAAATTTAAAAAAAAAAGAAATTCGCATTCGATTTGGTAGTACGATCTTAATTTATCTAGATGTTTTTTTTTTAAGTCTAATAATTTCAAAGTGTGGTTTGTTGTGCATAATTAACTACATAGAGAACCAAAAACGTAATATTTGAGAAAAACATGTTTCTTAATAGATAAATCTTTTCCACTAAAATAGCGAAAAGTATTACGTTAAAACGTTAAAAAAATATAGCATTATATTTAAGTGACCTTTAACATAAGCGCTCTGATAGTTCATATTACCTAATATAAAAGAATAATAGTAAACTGACTTTTTAAAACAAGTTAATAAAAAGTCTAGTGACAATTTAAGCGCAGTTTCCTTATGATATCCATAACAATTTTTTGTGACCAAACGAAAGGATATTTTTGAAAACTTTCTTCGGCAATATTGTTCTAAATTATGGCAGAAATTGATTGGTAAATGTTTCAAGTCGCTAAGTGGTCTGGTTGCCGAGATATGGGTCAAAAACTGCATTTTTTCGAGTTTTTTTTTGGCTTTTCCGGGAAATCTAGGAAGGAATTCCGGGAATTTTTTTGGCACACAATCATCCTCGGAACTTGTTTAACATATTTGCTTTTGGAACTAGTCCTCGATATTGCTTCGTTGAGGAGGAGTTACGACTTAAAGCTGCGGACACACATCCATCCATCCATCCAGAAATAACGAATTAATAATCGCAATTGCTAGAATGGAAGTTGCGCTAAAAAAGTGGACATGGATCTAGATCTAGATCTACTGCATTTGTTATGATTACAACAGATATAATCTGAGCTCAAAAGGATAGTTCATGCATTTCTATTCCTGCCTACATCTAGATTTATGTACTTTACGGACGACTCCGTATAGTGAACAAGGACTCAATCTAGATTCTAGAAGCTTACTTTGCGCTGATGTGAGCCAAACACAGAGGAATATTAATACTACAATAGTGAAAGCCATGTTAGTTTATCTTTATCTTCATGTTTTGAAATTTAATGTTGTAATGCGATTTCCGTTCTTTTACGTTAAGCACCATTTGGCAGTGTGCAAGGCTTTAAAATTGCGCTTGAAATTTCAAAATATTAGTTTTAAAATGGCATAGTTGCTTTATTTTTTTAAAAGCTTGTATATCATTTGCGTCATATATCTTTTGGCTTTTTTATGTCATCATGGATCGAGATTGACTATCAAAATTGTGTCGATTTCTAACCGACTAATTTATCTGAAACTGGGTACCTGGGTAAAGACCCGATAACAATTCAGAAATTCCATTTAACTTTATTGCATGCATATTATTTTTTAAAGCAATAATTAAGACGTCCTATAGTCTTGACTATTCATCGGTCTATTATACAGATTTTTTCGGTTAATTGGTATGCAATTGTTTTTAGTCATGTAACTCTATTTTATTCAACATAATTTTTATGTAAGCTTACTGAAAAAAAATGGATGAAAAAACGTTTTAATAAGAAAATTTTATGAAATGCACTAAATAGGTGAACAAAAATGGTTTTATTTAAATATATAACAATGAACTTCTATTATATTAACTAAAAAAAATTGTGGATCGCTATATTATGAATTGAATATCTTTACAAAAATTTCAGAAGCGATCCATTTTTAAATTTTTTTAAGGCAATAAATAAATTCAGTTTCCCTAGCCGCCTTTTTCCCTAACGTGAGATGTATATCTAGAGACGCCATACTGTCTCATTCGGAGATCGAAAGCCAATACTTTCGAGATATTGTTCAAAAGATCCACAATTCTTTCCTCGCTGTTTATTTAATGTGTCTAAAATATATAGAAAAGTGTAGAAAATTATACAGAGTATACAATGTTTAACAAAATAGGCCCTAAAAAATGTGTGAGCAATGTTTATCTGCAGTGGCGTAGCCAGGATCGTCTCGAGGGGAGTTCCAATTTTCCAGACTTTTGATTTGCACACCCCCTCAAACTTTCGATTTGAACCCCCCCCCCCCTCATACTTTATATATATATATATATATATATATATATATATATATATATATATATATATATATATATATATATATATATATATATATATATATATATATATATATATGTATATATATATATATATATATATATATATATATATATATATATATATATATATATAAATATATATATATATATATATATATATATATATATACATGTATTTTAAAAGAAGTGTAACAAATAACAGTAATAACTGAAAACACTGAATTTTAAAGCAACAAAAAAAGTAAGCTTGCGTTTCGTATTTATTTCCAGTTAAAGTTCAGACAATTAAGAGATGTTAAAAGTAATACTTTGGAATTATACAAATGTATAATCTTTTATTTGTTTTATTGTTAATGAACTAGCAAATAATATTGATATTTTCATCTTAGATGTTACACTACAAGAATGATAACCTTTTTGCAAAATACAGTTGGCACTGATTCACTTAGTTAATCTGGAAAAAAAAACATCAATTAATTTTATTTTATAATTTTAAACACAAAAAAGTGCTCTTCTTTTAACTTAAGTATATTTAATGAAATAAAACCAGACTAAAGGAAAACATGTAAGCAATAAATAAAACAGTATGAAAAAAAAATCGTGAAAGCCTTAAATAATTGAATAACACATAGGCTAATATAGACTAGTAGTTTTATCTTTAATGTAGTAAAATAACGTTTGAATAGATGTGGTAAAAAAGTATAAGATCAGTTACCAACGCATAATTACAATAATGATAATAAGATAATGTTCCAATAACATTATCTAAATGTATTAAATCCACACTAAATAATAGTGTTTTTTAAAACGACCACGATAAAGTGAATATTTTAACACCACGTGACCTTACATTCTGCGTTACTTAGCAGGTGACGCAGGAGGGGTTAAGTAGACCACGACTTAATGATGAATGCAATTAACCCCAACAGAAGAACGTCGGCCGTACAAATAAAGCCACTTCCGTTTCTTGAGTTCCCAATATCAGCATCGCCGAAGACATTGGTAATAACTATGGCATAAACAATGATTGTGTTTATATATATATATATATATATATATATATATATATATATATATATATATATATATATATATATATATATATATATATATATATACAGGCTACATATATATATATATATATATATATATATATATATATATATATATATATATATATATATATATATATATATATATATATATATATAAATATATATATATATATATATATATATATATATATATATATATATATATATACAGGCTACATATATATATATATATATATATATATATATATATATATATATATATATATATATATATATATATATATATACTTATAAACATAGGTTGAGTGATTGGATGTGAGTCATAGGGCTAATGGGGAGAGCTTTGAGCTATGCTATGTGGGTTAGTGCAATGTACCGTTTTGGTAAGGGGTAAGGAAGGGAATGGGATTTTGTTTACGTTTCAATGTATCGTGTCGGTTGGGGTAGGTTGGGTAAATTTTAAAAATACACCTCCACCCCCGAGGAGAAAAAAAAATTGTTTGAAAGAACCACTGATTAAAAGAACTCATCAAGTGAATACCTGTCATGTTCTGACACCGCGTTGAGACTTGCAGTTTCCTGGTCAGATCATAGTAGGCCCCCTCACAACAAAACAAACCAGCATCGTAGACTCCCGCGCTTGGTACATGTAATTCTACCCTGAATTTATCTACGTTCAACCAGCCGTGTTGATTTAAGGGCTTCGTCCCTTGACTCGAAAACTGCCATTTTGATTTTAAATTTTGGTCCTGGATAAATATTGAAGAGACTTTAGCATCAACATCTAAACATTTAACACACAAAAAACAAAAACAAAAAGTTTTTAACACTGGTATTGGAGGTGGAGGAGAGAAGGACGAGAATAACGACAATGAAAAGGAAATTAATGGTGTATAACGAAACATCTAGAGTAGGCCTATTTTTTATGTGTAGTAGTACGGATTGTGTGTAGTCCTACGGATTAAGTGTAAGTGTACGGATTAACTACGGATTAAGTGCATGTCTACGGATTAAGTGGATGTCTACGGATTAAATATAGGTCTACAGATTAACTGTAGGTCTACGGATTAAGTAGAGGTCTACGGATTAAGTGTATGCCTTAGAATTAAGTATATTTCTACGGATTAAGTGTAGTCTACGGTTAAGGGTAGGCCAACGGATTAAGTGTAGGTCTACGGATCCAAGTGTAGGTTTAGGTATTAAGTGTAGGTCTACGGATTAAGTGTAGGTCTACAGATTAAGCATAGGTCCACGGTATAAGTGTAGGACTAGGCAATAAGTGTAGGTATATTCAGGAGTTAAAGTGGTTTGTTTGGCGCAGAGCAGATACCTTTGATTGAGTTGTATTAAAAGATATAATCTTGGCATAACTAAATTAATAAAAATAGTTCATCCAGGTTTCAAAAGCAATATTGAATTATTTCAATCTGTATGAAAATAGATCACCTGTGTTGGTTCCATAAAATGTTATCTTTGTTAACTTATCTATTGAAATTTAGATCTAATAAAACATCATCTGAATTTTAAATTTAAATAAAAAGATAAATCTTAGTTCTTACAATAAAAGCGAACTCTTCAGGAGAGTGAGAGATGGAATAAGAGTAGAGCGACATAGGGTGGATGGAATCTTCCCAAAATATTTCCAGTCTGTCCATTCCCATAACATCAGCAGGGACCCCGGCTAGGTCGGCGTTGCAATATACCCGGAATTCTTGTCCTTCAGCTACTTTCTTCGGTGCGATCGATAAAGATGATACTGTAACATACGGAGCATTGTTAACTCGGGTAAAATACGAACTCAATGCAAACATTGTAAGATGATCATACACAAGAGCAAGATTGTGATGGACTAATACTGGGAGATAAAGGATGAAAGAGAGAGAGATAAAAAATGTACATATATATATATATATATTTATATATATATATATATATATATATATATATATATATTATATATATATATATATATATATATATATATATATATATATATATATATATATATATATATATATATATATATATATATATATATATATATGTATATATAAAGAAAGAGAGAGAGAGAGAGAGAGAGAGAAATGATATTATAACATTTTCACAGCGTAGATATATAGAATTAGACTAGACTAGTAGAGGTAACTGAGGACAGTACGAACTTGACTGTAGACGATGTTGTGCGAGAGTATTGTGCGCGTGGTTAATGACATATTTGTGGTGTGTGTGTGTGACGTGAACATGACGCGACAATGTTACCGATGACGTAGGACGCAGAAGTGAAGATTCTTGGGGGTTAGCCAATATAGAAAAAAAAGACGTATTTTGATATTGTGTGATCATAAAGTTAATGGTATTTCATGAACGGAGTTGTTGACATTGTTAATTAGTGTCTGCGGAAAATAAGAGTGTTTCCCGTTCTCTTTCACAAGTTGAATACTTGCATTGTTAATAGCAGTATTGAGAATAGAGAATCATAGAGCAGAACTTACATACATATTGATCCCATCATCACCAACATAATCAGAGGCGTAGGCTGGGGGAGGGGGTTATGGGGGGTCATAACCCCCCCCCCCATAGACCCCTCGGTATATATATAAAAAGTATGAGGGGGGTGCAAATCGAAAGTTTGAGGGGGGGGGGGGTTCAAATCAATAGTTTGAGGGGGGTGCATATCAAAAGTTTGAGGGAGGGTGCAAATCGAAAGTTTGTCCCCGGGTAAAAATTGGAGCCTCCCCCCCCCCCTTGAGTCGATCTTGGCTACGCCATTGAACATAATACTATATTACTAATTAGTAAGAATGGCGACGCATTGTTGGTAACGCGCTCAATTACAAATCTAAAAGTCACTGTCGACCCAGTTAATCCGCGTTTGCTTGTAAATTGAAATAATTGAAAGTGACACAAAAAAAAAAAACGTAACACAGTGAATACTGTCTACCTCAAAGCTAGGTTATCTAAATATTAACCTAAAGAGATGTTTCTATTGTGCGCTAATTTAAATAATTTGAATATCTGATTGAAGTTTTTTACATCCCGAGACTATACGAGTAGTATTAACCGAAATGTCATAATAAATTGTTACTGTAGTAATTTGTTTTGTTCAATAAATCATGATAAATTTATTTGCTGCTTGAATTGTTAGTCTATTAAAGTGTTTTCTTAGACCTAGCGATCCATCTTGCAGAGGAAGTAGAGTTCATAGGTTGCTTATCTAACCTGATAAATAATGAATCCGTTAACTTAAAGTGTGGTGTTAATTCTAACCAGGTAGAAAAAAGGGTCCCTTAAGTAAGGGTTTAATGTTGATTGTAATATAATAAATGATGGTTCCGTTGTGTTAAGGGGGTGGGTTGATACTTATCTGATTATCAATGGGCCAGTCAAGTTAATGTGATGTGTTGATTCTGATAACATACATTATGGGCTAGTTAAGTTAAATGTGTAATGTGTAATGTTGATCCTAACCTGATAAATTATGGACCAGTTAAGTTAAATGTGTAATGTTGATACTAACTTGATAATTTTTGGGCCAGTTAAGTTAAATGTGTAATGTTGATCCTAACTTGCATGGGCCAGTTAAGTGTAATGTTGATCCAAACCTTAAAAATTATGGGCCAGTTACGTTGAATGTGTAATGTTGATCCTAACTTGTATGCGCCAGTTAAGTTCAATGTGTAATGTTGATCCTAACTTGTATGGGTCAGTTAAGTTAAATGTGTAATGTTGATCCTAACTTTTATGGGCCAGTTAAGTTAAATGTGTAATGTTGATCCTAACTTGTATGGGCCAGTTAAGTTCAATGTGTAATGTTGATCCTAACTTGTATGCGCCAGTTAAGTTAAATGTGTAATGTTGATCCTAACTTGCATGTGCCAGTAAAGTTAAGTGTAATGTTGATCCTAACTTGCATGTGCCAGTAAAGTTAAGTGTAATGTTGATCCTAACTTGTATGGGTCAGTTAAGTTAAATGTGTAATGTTGATCCTAACTTTTATTGGCCAGTTAAGTTAAGTGTAATGTTGAACCTAACTTGTATGGGTCAGTTAAGTTAAATGTGTAATGTTGATCCTAACTTGTACTGGCCAGTTAAAGTTAAATGTGTAATCTTGATCCTAACCTGATAAATTATGGGCCGGTTAAGTTAAATGTGTAATGTTGATCCTAACTTGTACTGGCCAGTTAAGTTAAATGTGTAATGTTGATCCTAACCTGATAAATTATGGGCCAGTTAAGTTAAATGTGTAATGTTGATCCTAGCTTGTACTGGCCAGTTAAGTTAAATGTGTAATGTTGATCCTAACCTGATAAATTATGGGCCAGTTAAGTTAAATATATAATGTTGATCCTAACTTGTATGGGCTAGTTAAGTTAAATGTGTAATGTTGATCCTAACTTGTATGGGGCAGTTAAGTTAAATGTGTAATGTTGATCCTAACTTGTATGGGCCAGTTAATTTAAATGTGTAATGTTGATCCTAACTCGATAAATTATGGGCCGGTTAAGTTAAATGTGTAATGTTGATCCTAACATGTATGGGCCAGTTAAGTTAAATGTGTAATGTTGATCCTAACCTGATAAATTATGGGCCGGTTAAGTTAAATGTGTAAGGTTGATCCTAACTTGTACTGGCCAGTTAAAGTTAAATGTGTAATCTTGATCCTAACCTGATAAATTATGGGCCGGTTAAGTTAAATGTGTAATGTTGATCCTAACTTGTACTGGCCAGTTAAGTTAAATGTGTAATCTTGATCCTAACCTGATAAATTATGGGCCGGTTAAGTTAAATGTGTAATGTTGATCCTAACTTGTACTGGCCAGTTAAAGTTAAATGTGTAATGTTGATCCTAACCTGATAAATTATGGGCCGGTTAAGTTAAATGTGTAATGTTGATCCTAACTTGTACTGGCCAGTTAAAGTTAAATGTGTAATGTTGATCCTAACCTGATAAATTATGGGCCAGTTAAGTTAAATGTGTAATGCTGATCCTAACTTGTATGGGCCAGTTAAGTTAAATGTGTAATGTTGATCCTAATTTGTACTGGCCAGTTAAGTTAAATGTGTAATGTTGATCCTAACCTGATAAATTATGGGCCGGTTAAGTTAAATGTGTAATGTTGATCCTTACCTGATAAATTCTGGCACCTGTGCGACCAGCGTCTGACATTCGCCGTGTCAAAATAATTACCGCCACAGCAGTAGACGCCAGTATCGTGGACTTTGCTGGACGTGATTTTGATTCCAAACTTTAGAGGGCTCTTCTCGATTCTCTGGTTTGGCTTCATTATCGCTCCCTCATTGAAGAACTCCCAGTGAGACTTGCCGCGGGGTTTTTGGAGATTGATGTAGATTTTCTATACTCGGGGAGATAAGAGTTTTTAAGTGTAGACTTTGATTCGCTGACTTGCGATCGATGCAGGTTCAGTGATGATAATGTATAAAACGTTGATAGGTACACCCGTATTGCAAGTGTGTTAAAAGTGGATAAATATATTCGTAATGGTGGCAGTGTATTATGAATTTGATAAATACACGAGTTGTGGTATTGTCTTAAAAGTTGATAAATATAAGCGTACTGGTGGTAGTGATTTAAAAGTAGATAACTACACGATAAATGGTGTTGTGTTAAAGTTGATAAATACAATCGTAATGGTAGTAGTGTGTTTAACATTGATACACACATGCAGAGTAGAAATAATTGTTTTCAATGATGTTAGAAACAAAAGAAAACTATTAAGTTCTAGAAGCTGACTTTGTTTCAGGTAAATCATATTAAACGTTAATCAATAAATTATGTATTACTCTATACACGCAGAACACATACGTGTGGCCAAATGGTAATTATAATACAATATCGTAGCTACACAAATGTTATCTGAACTAATTTGTTAGCTTCGAAGAGAAATAAAACAATAAAATTGACAAAACCAATATAGAAAACCTATTTAGGCAAAATAATCATTTATTTTCAAACCAATTTAGCTAGTTTAATAATAGGTAAAACATAAAGGTATAGAAAAACAGTGTAAATTATTCATCAGCGCCTAAACATTAAAAAAAATAGAATCTATATATATAATTCTCTTCTGGGAGCCGCTAGAAAACAAGCTGCAAACGCGCCTAGAAAACAAGCTGTAAACGCGCTCCCTACCTCCCCACCCCTACATGGTTTTAGTGAGCTGTGATCACTCTAAATGTTTACAAGCAGAGCCAACGATTTTAAACGTAGGGGGGGGGGGGGGAGGGGGGGTTATGGTCCTTAACGAGCTACTTATAGTGATTTAAAGAAATATTTTCAGTGTCAGCGTTGGTACTGTCGAATTCACAAATTATGAATTTCTGAAAATTAGAAACAACTAAATAGCGGCGTATGTTATGCCGCGGGCCGGCTCGTTAGGAATATTTGACTAGACCCACTAATTAATTTAGATTTAAAAAAATAATGTTATGATGTGTAAATATTGTTAATTTAATAATACATAATAGAATATTTCCAAACATAAATTATATATATATATATATATATATATATATATATATATATATATATATATATATATATATATATAATAATATATATATATTTTTTTTTTTTTTTTTTTTTTAAGAAAACTAAAATTTGTACATAAAAAAAAACAAAAATAAAATCTTACTGATCTATTCAACATATTATGTGCGATTTCATACAACACAATTTTATCGGGGTCGTATTCTTTTCCAATCTTCCAGTCCAACATCATGTAATCCAGCTCTGTTGCCGTGTAAGGCACCCCAGCAAGATCTGCATCACACGTTATCAGTACGGGATCTGGCACTGTGGCCTGAGTAGGATGAACGATAGCTCGACATGAAACTGAAAGGTAAGATGGAGAAATGTCTGAACTAGTCTTTGTATGTGTGACATTACGTTAAGTATACAACATATAGTAAAGCCAAGTGTATACGTGTATAAATATACATACCATTATATACTTATACATATATTTACGTATATATATATATATATATATATATATATATATATATATATATATATATATATATATATATATATATATATACAAAGATACCACCTAGCAAATGTTAGCATGACCCTGAAACACCATATTGCATACGTCGATATAACACACTGACACACCAACCTCCAACACGCTTATATGCAACTGACACACCAAACTGACACATGCTGACACTGACACACCTACCCATCACTGCCTGACATCGTGTCGACGACACCGGTTTATCGGTATTATAAAAGTACACCACCTCGCAACACCACTCTCCCGTATCAATGGGTTTAACCTCTGAAATCAGAATCTCCAGTCTGATGTCGTTCCTTTTTATATCGCCCCAGACGTTTCTGACATCCGATACGTAATACTTCAACGTCCAGTGGCTTCGTAACACCTCTTCCGTAATGCCCTGTGAAAAATTGAAGGGAAATAATACACATGTAAACATGTATCAGCAAGAAAAAAAATAGATCTTATATTAAAAACACCCACTTGCAGTAATACATAACATAAATAAATGATTATAGTATACGAGCCGACCCGCGGTTTATCATACGCCGCTATTTAGTTGTTTTATTTTCTACTTTTCAGTAGTTCATAATTTGTGAATTCTACAGTACCAATGCTGCCACTGAAAATATTTGCTTTAAAAAACTATCAGTAGGTCGTTAAGGACGATACTACCCCCACCCTCCTTTCCCCCAACCCCTACCCTACAAGCCTTCTCTTAGTTACCTCCCCTAAGTTTAAAATCGTTTTAAACTAAATTATCTGCCCCTAATAGCCGTCACCAAACCCGGCTCTACGAATGTAAACATTTAGCGTTGACCACAACTCACCAGACCGTGTAGGGGTGGGGTTGTAGGGAGCGCGCGTACAGCTTGTTTTCTATCGTCTCCAAGAAGAGAATTATATGTATAGATAGTTATTTGCTTTAGATATGTACATATCTTTACATATCTAGATTGTATGTAAGACCAGAGTTTCCTTTAGCCACCTCTTCGTGAGGGGGGGGGGGGGGTATCTATATCAGTGTTATGACCATTAATTAATTACTCGTTCATGGTTAGTGACGTACATTATTTAAATGTGCGATTTAAATAAATAAAATATTATATATATATATATATATATATATATATATATATATATATATATATATATATATATATATATATATATATATATATAGGGCCTATATATGTATATATATATATATATATATATATATATATATATATATATATAGGGCCTATATATATATATATATATATATATATATACTTTGTTGATGTTTATCGAATTAAAAAATAACAAACATGATAAAACTAATTCTGACAACTTCCAAACACTTACTTCATCCAGCACGTATGTGGCACGGAAACGGTACCTGTTGAACGACACTTTGAGCTGTCTGACTCCCCTCACAACCTCTGGAGCACCCGCGACATCGGCGTCACACAAGATTGTCTCCGGTTCTCCACTCTCGATTTCGCGGGGTACTATCGACTTACGCACAACTGGAAACATATTTGATTTACTTTAGCCTGAACATCTGTTGGTCTTTTTTCTTTTATTTCTGCCCCCCCCTCCCTCTTTATCTCTCTCTCTCTCTCTCTCTCTCTCTCTCACTCTATATATATATATATATATATATATATATATATATATATATATATATATATATATATATATATATATATATATATATATATATATATATATATATATATATATATATATATATATATATATATATATATATATTCTACACATCAAAATGTATTCAAAGTTGAAGCGTGAGAAATGGCATGTCCAGGCGATGTATTAGGATTTAGGGGTCATCTATAAACGACGTCACGCTTTTTTTGACGATTTTAACCGCCCCCTCCCCCCCTTCCCCTCCTTGACACGTCGTCACAAAAAGCCAGAACCCCCCCCCCCCCCCACCCCTAAAATGACGTCACACCTCAACCTACAACCTCCCTTAAAATTGCAGTTGAATTTTTTTTAAACATTGATATTTTTCTAAAATCTTGTCTGAACTCTGTCAAAATAGAGTATTTTAATCAATTCCTATTACAATTTATTAAAACAGTTTTCTAAAACGCGAAATAACGTCTAAAATTCGTTTTCTAACATTGCTTTTTAATAATGCAAAAGTGTGACGTCGCACCATCTGAACCCCCCACCCCTTATCACACACCGTCACAAAATTACGGATCCCCCTCCCCCTACGATTGTGACGTCATTTATGGACGACCCCTAAAGCTAAGTTACCACTAAACTGGTGTTAAGTTTAGGTTTATGCCTAATTGGTATTTATAATTTGAGTAAAAAAAAAACTTACTTGTAAGCAATCTGACCGCACCCTCTTTGTTTTGTTTGTTTTGATATTGTGTTACTGCTTATTGTATTAAAGTGAGGTTTCTGATGCCTGCATTTGTCTTCTATAAATTCGATATATATTGTAAGCCTTAAAGCCAAGTGTATTACTTCCTGACCATACATAGATCTAGAATCTAGATCAGAATCTTTACATACATCTAAAAATATAGATCTATACCCTATTTACTTTAGCATAAGCGCAACAGTGGCATACAAGAAAATACTGTCTAAAAGAGTCTGTATAAGAATTAACTATGACTTAAATTAAAAGCTTACTTTGAGCCGATATGGACCAAATACAGAGGAATGTGAATACCATAATTCTTAAAGCCATGTTAGTTTTTCTTTAGCTTCATGTTTTTCTTAAGGATCTATATCTGGATGTTGTATTGTGATTTCCGTTCTTGTGTGTTGAGCACCATTAGACAGTGCGCAATATTTTAGTTACTTTTTGTTACACAGGTTATAGATGAATATGTTTCAGCAACAAATAGTACAAGTTTGGTGCACATGTGGTAAACATTTTAGAATGAACATGCCCATTTAATAGAATAAAATAAATGTGTACACCTCCCTAAGTCGGAAAACCATTATTTTTGCAATGTTTTGTAAGTATGTTAGCTTGTCTGGGTGTTTTTTATTTTTGTAAACACGATGACTTGATTAATTTTTCATTTGTGATGACGAAATTTCATTTACTTGTATTTTATCAAATGTGTAATTCACTATGCATGTTTGAGCGATTTCCGGTAATCGAAAGTAGTAGACGAAATTTCACATATTTGTATTTAATTATTTTTGCAAGTGTCGCTTAAATTCTGAACGATTTTCGAGTTACGATGTCGAATCCGGTTTCAAGTCAATTGACTCAATAGAATGCCCCTGAGCCCACCCCGTCAGATTTATACTAAACTATGGAAAACACCGCCCTAATAACACTCTCTCTCACTATCTATCTATCTATCTATCAAGATTTACCTCTCTCCAATTTAAACTCCAAAACACGCACACAGTGTTTCTTCCAGACTTTTTCCTCTGGGGGGGGGGGGGGCGGCACTTGAAATTTTCGGGGGTGGGGGGGGCGGTAGACTATCTTCGGAGGGGGGGGGGGCGGACACTGTTAAAAGTATATATTTTCTATATAATTTTCATTTTGTTCGGGGGGGGGGGGGGCGGTAGACTTTCTGGCTGGAAGAAACTGCACGCAAAAACAAGCATTAAAACTATTAATCATAATATAAAAGTAGAACTAACTAATTCACGGATATTTAAGCATTACTGGACCAAAAGCAATGCACGTAAAAATGTGCAAAGCTAGTGTTGTTATTTCCTATCTAGTTTCTAACAATCACGCTCACAAGTGGCGAGTCCATAGGTCGCTGAATGTCGCAGCGCTGCGTACTGATGCAGCGATTTCAACGCCTACCACTTATGATAGCGCTGTTTCACCAAAGTCGACAATACATTGTATGCCACTTTGTGTATCACAGTACTTACACTATCTTCAAAATCTACAAGCAACCGGCTATACGTTAAGTTTATGCAGTACGTCTGCTATAAAATTGTAAAGTTAGTTATGGGATGATGTGGTCGAGTGTTAGAGCTCGTCATTGCTATCCCGAAAGTCTAAAGTTCGGATCGTGGTTTAGACTGGAAAGTGCGAGAAGTTTCTGAGTAACCCAGCTCTAAATAGGTAGGGCGTACCTAGTTCCAGTTTCATAAAGTGTTGGTGGCTAGGCATAGTGCCGAAAAACTATCCCCTTTATATGCCGGTATCAATAAACTCAAGGCCTCTACTTCATCTGCTCGAAGGGTCGCTCGGTCTGAAGGTGGAACGTTATGGATTTGTGGTTGTATGTTAAGTTAACAAATCACATGTGTGGTCAGTTAACAAAGCTATCAAGTACATATTATTAAAAAAATAACTTATTGCTTGAATGAAAATTATTAATTAGAATGATTAATTACGAATTTAAAATAATTTAATATAACCATGGTATATTATATATATATATATATATATATATATATATATATATATATATATATATATATATATATATATATATATATATATTTATATATATATATATATATATATATATATATATATATATATATATATATATATATATATATATACAACGTCCGTCATATAAACTCTGATACTAGTCTAAACCAAACGGGCAATGCTTCGGTGTATAGTTTTAGCAACCTAATTAGTTAAGCACATGTTTAACAACCTTGCACTAATTACCTTTAAAATAATGTTGATCGTTAATGCGCAATGTGAATAAAATGGTTTAATATCGATCTCATATAATATAACAATTAAATAGTTGTACCAGGTTAGTTTCAAATAATGCAAACTTGTTATGTTATGATGTATACTGTATTTAAGTTAATATCTCAGATATAATGTTACCTCCAGTATAATTAGACCAAAGTAAAATTAGCTAAAATGAAACTAGCTAGCTGTTTTTTTTTTAACCCTTATGCAATTTATAATCTAAACCCCATCATATTTTTGTTTGCATTTGTTAACTTTAGTTTAATTACGTACTAGTACGCTATCATCGAATCAGTTTAGATCTGATATTTAACTGACCGCATTCCACATCCTGTTTTGTGGTTTAAAACGACAACACCTCCCCGACAAATAAAAGCTCGAATTTTGTTTGGTTAAAAGCATAATTTTAGTTTTAGTAATGATTTAAAGCTTAGTAATATTGTTCATAAAATACACTGAGTATTATTAATTAACGTCATTAGGATTTCGTAACCGATTTTTCAAAATGAGTTTATTCTATTGCTGTTTGTTGTCAACATTTTAGAATTTTTATTTTTTTAAACTATTTACGGACGTTTAACTCTTAAACGCAAATTATGGGAGTCTTACAGCAATTATTGGTGTTCATGTGTATCCTGGCCTCTTATCAAACGGACGCAAGTATAAATTACTACAATAACTGAATTGATTAATAATATATATATATATATATATATATATATATATATATATATATATATATATATATATATATATATATGTTATGATTGTTTATCTTTGATATTTTCATCTTTTTAAAATATAGCATTGAAATTTTGGGTAATTGTTGCGTACGTACGGGCACATATGGTACTTCACGTAGTGAATGTGATGTAGTGTACATACATGATGTGGCATAACGGATGTAGTGTATACAATGCATATAATTTAGTGTACTTGATGTAGTATACAATATGTAGTGTATGTACAATAGTGTACACGAAGTAGTATACATTATGTACTGTTTTTGACGTAGTATAAGCGATGTAGTGCACATGATGTAAAATGTACTTGATGTAGTGTTTATTATAAAGTGTGCTTGACTTGGTGTAATCGATGTAGTGTAAAAAATATAGTGGACATGATTTAGTGTATCGAATTAGTCTACACGATATACTATACATGGTATAGTATACATGAAGTAGCACAAATGATTTAGTGTACATGTTGTAGTCCATATCATGTAGCACTCATCATGTATTGTGCATTATATAGCGTATCTTTGCTGCGGCATATGACGTTATGTATGTATATATATATATATATATATATATATATATATATATATATATATATATATATATATATATATATATATATATATATATATATATATATATATATATATGTATGTATATATATATATATACATATATATATATATGCCAATACTTACCATTTTATTTTACTTTAAGTTGAATCAGCTCCAATGATAGTCCAACACATTATGGTTTTTGTTTTATAACTCTGCTGTTGATATTTCTTTATTCCCAGAGTGTCCCTCGTCTAATTGGATATATAATGGCGGAAACTGCTACCTATTCGGAGGCCAGTTACGAGTACAATGGCGTGAAGCTCAAACATTTTGCTACAGACTCGGAGGAAACCTAGCCAGTCTTAGATCACAAAAAGAGATCGATTTCTTAAATTCACTGGTAATTATTTTTTTTTTTTGCGGAAGAAATTTGATTTTAATTTTTAATTATGTTTAAGGGACTTAGTGATTTAGTGGTAGAGAGCTAGACTGCTAACTCGTAAGTCTCGAGTTAGAATCCGGGTTTAAGTCAGAAGACCGTTCTTGAATCCACGCAGCTGTGATGGGTACCTGACTCAAGTTAGGGAAAGTAAAAGCGGCTGAACATAGTGCTGACCACGCTATCTCTTCATATGCCGAGGTCACAGAAACAAGAGAACATTACTTCACTTGCCCAATACACTTCAGGCATTTAACTTTTATTTTTGCATTGTTCATTTACATGTGATAGTTTTATTTTTCATAATTTGCCTTCAACAAAGTCTAATCTATTCAACTTAAACATGATTTAGGTAATGGAAGTATTTCTTACCTAAAATCAGATTATTGTAACTCCAGTTATTAAAATGGTTCACAATATACGTTTGCGTTTGTTTGTCCCATTAATTCTATATCAAAAACTTTGTCGGGTAAAAAAACTGTGTTTTATTAGTGAGGTGTATGACCACACATTTTAAAGCATTGAATATGCCTAGAGAGGAAGAGAGGGGACTGTTAGGCGCGCTTACAGCTTGGTGTTTTATATATATATATATATATATATATATATATATATATATATATATATATATATATATACGTATTATATCAAAATCGTAGATCCATATCAAAAGCCTTTAACTTGAGTGCTGTTTCAGAGAGATAAATGAAATTTCACATTTCACAATTTCAGTTGATTTTTTTTTAGTTCCCAAACCAGTGTTTTTTTCCAGGCATCTCGAAGAAAGTCGACCGCCCCCACGAACCAAATGGAATTTGTATAGAAAATATATACTTTTAACAGTGTCCGCCCCCCTCCCCCCCCCCCCCCTGGAAATTTTAGTCCGCGCCACCCCCGAAAATGTCAAGTGCCCCCCACCCACACTCGGAGAAAAATGTCTGGAAGAAACACTGTTCCGAAAGCAGAGAAAAGTTGGAAGAAATCGTGAAATAATTGAGGGTCTAGCTATTTTTTTTTTATTTTTTTTTTGGGGGGGGGGGAAGGGTGTTGTATTTAGCGGGGCTTTCTGTTTAGCGTTTCATCGGATCATCGGCTGGAGGTGTGTGAGGGGGGGGGGGGGTGGGGAGGGGTTGAATTATCCTTGACATTTGGGGGTGTGACTTAAAATTGATAGAGGGATTTAGGAAAAATACATGTACAACATGTATTAAAATAGTGGTTTTTTTTTAATACTTTTATTTTCAAATAGAAATAATTACATCAGCATAATCAGCATATACACATAATTCAAAAATTTCAAAAAATATCATTACATGAACAAAATGGTGAACATTACTAAAAAGGATTTGTCGATCAACA